CCTGCCAGCTGCTCGCCCAGAACAGCTGAGGTCCTGTTGACCCTGCATGCTGGCTGGGTGAGTGCTTGGGGGAAACACTGCCTCCTCCCAGCCCCACCCACAGCACGCACAGTCTTTTTGGGCCTCTTTCCTGGTCTCCACTCACTCCAGGTAACACACAGAGCTGCCACCATGGTTCATCAGGTGCTCTACCGGGCTCTGGTCTCCACCAAGTGGCTGGCAGAGTCGCTCCGCAGCGGCAAGCTGGGGCCCAGCCTGCGGGTGCTGGACGCATCGTGGTACTCGCCGGGCACCCGGGAGGCCCGCAAGGAGTACCAAGAGCGCCATGTGCCCGGCGCCTCCTTCTTTGATATAGAAGAGTGCCGGGACACAGCGTCACCCTATGAGATGATGCTGCCCAGCGAGGAGCACTTCGGGAACTACGTGGGCCGCCTGGGTATCAGCAACGACACGCACGTGGTGGTGTACGATGGCGACGACCTGGGCAGCTTCTATGCTCCCCGAGTCTGGTGGATGTTCCGTGTGTTTGGCCACCGTACCGTGTCAGTGCTCAATGGTGGCTTCCGGAACTGGCTGAAAGAGGGACACCCAGTGACGTCTGAGCCTTCAAACCCAGAGCCTGCTGTTTTCAAAGCCACACTGGACCTCTCCTTGGTCAAGACCTATGAGCAGATCCTGGAGAACCTCCAATCTAAAAGGTTCCAGATGGTGGATTCACGGGCCCAAGGCCGGTACCTGGGCACCGAGCCAGAGCCAGATGCAGTAGGTAGGTGTCCCAATGGGTAGGTGGTCCAAGGGGAGGAGGGAGTAGGAATGATTGGCACCTCCTCTGGGTTCTGCTGTCCTAGGTCTCACCTTGGTCTCAGTCTTTCCATCTGTAAAATGAGAACATTTGTCCTAAGCCTAAAGTCTCTTTCAGCTCTGGTGCACGAGGATCTATGTATGTGTGGCCATGGCCACGTGCTCACAAATGACCCAGCCTCAGCAGAGGTGTCCACCAACACATCCACCCAGGCTCCAGTTCTCCCCAATGCACTAGAGCTCCCGAGCCAGCATTTGCGTTGCTGCACAAAGCCTCCCAAGAGCACGCGGCTCCTCCTGTCTCCAAGAAACTCTTGCTGCCCTAGCAGCGGTGTCATCCCCAGCCCCTGTCTTCCTAGCTCTCCTGGGACCCAGACTGGTATTTGCCAAGGGTAGCCTGGTTGATAACCTTTCTGAGCAGCTGCGGTCTGTTTACAGTCATCTGAGTTGTTAATAGCAGCTTCCAGCTCATGCCAGACACTGGGCACTGCGTTGTCCCATATAGCACAGGGTAGATGCCAGGGTAGTAAGCCACTTGCTCTATGGCAGAGGCAGGATTTGCACCTGGGGCTGCCTTTTTTCAAAGCAGTACTCTAAACCTGAGTGTACCCCATGCTAACCCAGCCCACTTCCTGAGACTTAGAGGGAGTCCCCTCTGCCAGGCCTTCCAGAGAGATGGCTCTTGAGTCCCTTTGGGTGGAAGGAAAAGCCTGGAAGGGTGTATGTTACTTGAAGGGCAGAGGCAGCCTCAAAAGAGGAAGTGCTGGTTTCTAGAGGTCCTAAGCAGAGAGCGCTCAGGTTCTGGCCTTTGTGGATACTGGGCACAGGGCTGGTGGTGGCTGGCCCTTTCTGGGTGGCTCTGGCTAGGGGAGATTCTCTGCAGGAGCTTGCTGCAGTGCAACATTTTGCCTGGCTTGTTGCAAAACGTCTCTTCCTTTTTGTGCCTCTGAGGGAGAGAACTGAAGGCTGGGAAAGCCATTTTGTAGTCTTAAGAGCTGCAGAGTCTGAGACAAAGGGGAGGCACAGAGAGGCAGGGGCAATCGAGGCCACACAAACTGTTGGTGACAGAGCCACCAAAGCTGCCCTCCCTGCCCAGCTTTTTCCAGAACCCTGCTCTCCACGCCTGGCCTGCTCTCTGAAGACCTGTGGCAGAAGACTCAAAGTTCATTTGGCACCACCCAGAGACTCCTGGCACCAGACACTTACAAGCCCCTTCTGGCCTTGGTCCAGGTGCCTTCCCTGCTGAGGACATTGAGGGACCTTAGGCTGCCCTTGAGGGATGCACAGCAGAGTTAGTTCCCTAGCTATTTCTAAGCCTGCTTGGAAGCCGAATGAGAAATAAGTGATTGCCGGGTGAGGCTATTGCATGCCCATTGTTTGAGGAGAAAACTGAGGCCCAGAGAGGAGAAATAGCCTGCTCTGGGTAGATTTCCTGAGAGCTCTGAATTCTGACCTCTTCTCTGTGACCCTACCCCCATGCTAGTTTCCAGAAAGCTCCAAAGAACATCGAATCTCACTTCAGTGCAGCACCTGCTTTGTGCTGCGATCTTAGTCCAGTTGTTCAGCCTGGGTTCACCTGTCATAAAACGATCTGAGTACTGTCCCCCTACCCACCTGGCATGTATGCACTCATTTAAGTACAGCAGTGACTGCAGTTCTGAGAAGATAAGCGACTATTTAATAACCAGGGCCATGGAGAAAGACATAGGGGATGTGCCACCTCCCTCCTTCATTCTCTAAGAGGATTTGCTGCCTCCCATATCAAATAGTTGGGGACACAAAGATACATATGGTGCTGCCAGGTTCATGGTCCCCAGTCTGGGATGGAGTAAAGCAGACACCTGTAGGATTAGCATTCTAGAGGTAAAATGGTGGGGAGGCCTTGGGGACAGGGAGGGTCCTGCAGGGAGTGACCCCAAGAAGGAGCTGGGACAGGGACTTAGAGTCCTGAGGCCACTTTCTACCGACCTGAGGCCTTAGCGTTGTGTCTGTGCCCTGTGGTTCTTCGGTAGGGGTACAGGATAGGAAGCAGAGGGACCTGAGTATGCATCTAGATGTGGCACTTAGCTGTGGCCTCAGGCAGGTCCCTTCCCTTGACAAAAGAAATCCTGCCTTGTCAGAGTGATGGGGACAAAAACAGCCAGGAGGTTTTGTGAATATTGATCTTTGTGCCTCTGCAGGGGAGGGTGTTGACCCCAAAGGCCCTCAAAGGGAGGGGACAGGGCAGGGAGACTTGGTCCTGCTCTGTAGAAGGGACCAGGAGAAGGGCTTCCTCTGCCCAGGAAAGGCAAACATGGCCAAGCCTTGACCCCAGTTCAGCAGGCATCAAAGCCCAGCCATTCCCCAAGGCCATTGCTGTGGGTGGGGCCAGCGGTGGCAAACACAGGGACTGGGGAAAGGTCAAAAGGTCTCTGCACCACCCTGTTCCTTCGTGGAACCAAGCAACAGGTCCTGCCCCTCCCCCTCCCAGGGCTAGGGGTCCTGGCTGTCTGGGCAGCATTCGATAGTTTTCTGTTTGGCACTGGATTCCCTAGTGACTTCGGGAGCAAAGCCCAAGAGGCCAACAGGTGCTCCTGGCCTAGATCATCCACACCCATCTGCAGCCTGTGGAATGCAAACTCACCAACTTGACATAGGTTCTTTGCCAAAACTAGAATCTGACTTCCTGACCTAAGCAGCAGAGGAACCAGAGGCCGTCTCATCTGTTCTCCTGCCTTAGTTTCCTAAGGAGGCCCTGAAGTCCGTGTTAACAAAGAACACACACTTTGGGTTCCCACCAATCTGACTTCATAGACCCTTGCTGTGTGTCCTGGGGCAGGTTACTTCCCTTGCTGAGCCTGCACTCTGCATCAGGGATGATAGAATAAATGATATCTGCAGCTTGGTGAGGACTGCGAGAAGTAGAACTGAGAGAACCTACTGCCTGCCGGTGAGCCTGGTACCAGAGTGGGGGTCTGGGGGTGGTGAGGAGGGGTTGTCATGAGGTGATGCTGAAGATGGGAGTGGGAGGGGAGCAGCGGCGGGAACTACTTCCGGTCCCCAGGCCCTTTCTTCCAGTTGGCCATTCTCCAGAGCTCTGGCCCAGGCTGGCCTTGGTCCTCCCACCCCTTTTTGGCTGCCACTCTCTCGTGCTCATTGAAATTACCCAGGCAGGCCCCAGTCCTGATCTGGAGAGAGGGTGGGGAACCCCAGCTCCCTGGCTGCAGCTCCTGCGCCATAGAAGCCTGATTTCTTTCATCTGCAATGCAAGGGGAAGAAAACAAACACCGTTCAATTGTGTGTCTTAGTACTCTTCAACTTGGCCCCTGGCCTGCGTTCTGACTGTGTAAAGTGGGGCTTCTTTAGAAAGTTCTGGAAACATTCTAAGCAGCCTGAGTTTTCGCCTGCTCTCAGGTGAAAGTCTGCAAACAAAAAAGATGGGATCTAAACACTGGAATAAAGTGCCTTTTCTGAGTAGCGTGTTCCCGTCTCTGCCTAGTTCTGTACTCCCAGTTCCTCCTTCTCTCCCCTTCATACTCCTTAGCCTTAACCAAGGAAAGAGGCTCCTAGCACCCCACTGGGAAAGCCACTCCAGCACACTGCTGTGTCATCCCTTGGGCATGGGCAGACTTGCCTGCCCCACATGAGGTGCCTGAAGGTCCAGAAGAAGGTTCCCCTGGAGTTGAGTATCTGCTCAGTCCCAGGAACTCTTGGGGAATGCTTTTAAGGAACTTGGGGCGAGGAGCCAGGACATTTCTGGTTTGAGTGCACCTGCTGTGTGCCTGCAGTCACTAAGGGGCTTTTACCGCAGTGGGCAAACTTCCCTACATGCCTATGAAGTTTGGGGGGCCAGTCTCCCCATTAAGCAGGAGGGGAGGCAGGCTCAGAGGGGCAGAATCTGGCTCCATGCGGCTGCTCCTGGCTGCGGGATGTGCCTCATGCACACCAGCAGGTCCTCCCGGTCCCAGGGACCTGCCCTGCCCCACAGCCTGGCCTTAACATGGCAGTGGGATTCAGGGAAGAAGCAGAGCCCCAAAAGATAGAGGTAAACCTGAGCCAGTTCCCTGCCAGTGCCCAGTGTCTGCAGTGAAAGGTGTCCGAGGAAGATAAGCACCCAGGTGCACTGGGCACACCAGGCACCTGAGCAAGGCCCAGGCCCTGTGGGCACAGCCAGCTCTGGCAAGGGTCCATCCCCTCTGGGCCTCTTGCTGGCTTTTCTGAAGTCCGTGTTAGCAGAGGGGCCTAACTGGGTGAGACAGTTCTAGAAGGACTCCAGCGTCAGCCTAGGCCCAGCCTGTTTCCATCCAAGCCTCAGAGGCCCTCGCAGGGGCCTGAAGGGACCACATTGCCCACTCCAGTCCCAAAAGAGGTGCAGCAATGGGTGGGTCTGTGCTTTCCTTGGGTCACTCTCCCCTTGTGCATGGCTATACTCTTACTCACATTTTAACACCCCCCCGGGGAAACTGAGGCTCAGAGAGGGGACATGACTTGATTAAGGTCACCGAGCCTGCAAGAGGCAGAGCCAGGCTTTGAACTTCCGTCTAACACCAGGTCACACGCTCTTTTCACAACTGCAGACCTAACAGGAAAACCAGGGGCCTGGGCATCATCCTGTCTGTGGCCTTTGGTGAGCCATTTTGTTTCATCAAGTTCAGTATAGCCACTTGTAAGGTAGAGTGACATCGTATTGGGATTGTAATGAAGTCTTTCAGCATTTGTCTTCTTTACTGGGTTCTAATCCCTCAGGAGGCCCAGGCTCTCACTCTTTCTCACCACTGCATCCTCAGCCACCACAGAGCAGAGTATCTACAGCAGTTTATCCCATTTGCTGTTTTCCACAATGCCTTGAGGCAGGGCTATACCACTGTGTCCATTTTACAGATGGCAAAACTGAGGTGCAGGGAGGTGGGATGATTTGTTCAAGGTAAAGCTAGTGAAAAGGTTAGCTAGTTGGTTAAGCCAGTGCTCATACAAACTCCTGTTCTCTTGAGCAGTATGGCTTCGGACATCTCCCCTTCAAAATAGGCTTTAGGGAAGGGGTTCAAGAGTCTCAAGTCATGGCATCAACTATGGGGTGGGGCAGGGCAGCTAATAATGAACTGAGCACGCCAGAAAGAGCAAAGGTGTTATTTCTATTTGCAAAGCTTCTGGGCTGGCTGTGGCTAGTGGCAACCTCCGGTCCCACCCACCCACCCACACCTTCCTCCTACCCTCCCTAACCCTTGTCCTCTGCCCCTCCCCAGGACTGGGCTCTGGTCACATCCGGGGCTCCTTGAACATGCCCTTCATGGATTTCCTGACCAAGGAAGGTTTCGAGAAGAGCCCCGAGGAGCTGCGCGCCATGTTCCAGGCCAAACGTGTGGACCTCTCGCAGCCCCTGATTGCCACTTGCCGCAAGGGTGTCACAGCCTGCCACATTGCCCTGGCCGCCTACCTCTGTGGCAAGCCCGACGTGGCCGTCTATGATGGCTCCTGGTCAGAGTGGTTCCGCCGGGCACCCCCTGAAACTCGTGTGTCACAGGGGAAGGGTGGGAAAGCCTGAGCAGCCCTGTCCCTTGCGCACTGCGATGCCCACCCCAGTGTAGTGAGCTGGCATGAGCTGCGGCCCATGCTTAGGCAAAGGAGGTCAAAATATTTTTCTAGAATTTCTGTGCAGAGCTTGCAGTTCCCCTAAACACTGAAATAAAGTGCCTTTTCTGAGTAGTGCGTCCCCGTCTCTCCCTAGTTCTGCACCCACGGTTCCTTCTCCTCTCCCCTTCATATTCTTCAGACTCCACCAAGAAAAGAAGCTCCTAGCCCCCCCCTGGGAAAACCACCCTGGGGATACTGCTGTGTCATCCACTTTGGCACAGGAGCCTTGCCCTGCTTGATGCAATGTGCCTGAAGGCCCAATGAGAGATGGTGCCAGGAAGCCAACCAATGACCCAGAGTTGATGGGCACCACCTTCCTGCCCCCCAGCTCCCAAGGCAGCTCCTTAGAAGCTAGTGTCCAAAGAGGTGTCCCCTGCCTTGGAGGAGATGGTGCTGAGATGCAGGCAAAGGCAGCCCGGGCTCTGCCTTCAGCCCCCTTAGCTCCGAATAAGATCCTCTGGGGAAGGTAGAGGGAGGGCCCAGAAGCAGTGGCCAGGGACAGCGTCTGCACTTCCAGGAGGAACTACAGGCTGTATTGCCTGGTTCCCGGAAACTGGCTCTCAGAACCTTCCTTCTGGGTGGCAGGGCGATTGTCAGCCTCATCTACTGGGCTTCCCCCAGCGGCCACGGCTGAGTCAGAAGAACCCAGCCAGAACTGGGCACTGGGGCAAAAGGTACTCCGGAAGCACGGGGAAATGGGCTTGGCTGCAGGCCAGGCTGGGCATCGGCGGAGGCAGATTGGGAGCTACAGAGACAAGTGGAGGCTGCTCTCAGGCTGTCCGAGAGCTCCTGGCCTCTCAGCTCCACGCAGCCTTTCTCACACCAGCCTTGGGTCCCTCCTGGCACCTTGATGGGCCTGTGAGCAGCTGCTGGGCATGGTGAGGACTCCGCCTCCTGACCCTCCTGAGGCTGAGGAAGCTCTTGCTGGGCAACAGGTGCCAGGGCCTGGGTAGAGGGCCCCACAGCCCCGTTCCTGTCTCACACAGACCTTACAGCCAGCAGAGATGAAAGTGGAGTGTGGCAGGAGTGGGTGCAGAGCAGTGCGGGAAAGGTATGGCGAGGCAGGCCACAGGACGTGTGGAAGGGCTAGGATGTTTCTTACAACTGGAGGTCCCAGGAGTACGCAGAAGCCCGGCCACAGTGGAGAAGCCAGCCCTGCAGATGCCTGCGGGAAGGAGGTCACCACAGAGGGACCCAGATATGCCAAGGCCCAGAGGCCTGTTTGCTCGGTGTGTTCCAAGAAACAGCGGAGGCAGCACGGCTGGGGTCTGGGAGGACCGGGGGACAAGGAGGAGCCAGGGTCAGGGAGAGGGTGGGCACATGGGGCCTTGCAGGCTTTGGGAGGCTCAGTGGCACGTTGGGGCCTGGGACACACTCAGCAGAGCTCTGAAGTTAGCCTCTAGGTGACCAGCAAGATATGTAGGCCCTCAGCCTGATAGACTGGGTACTGTCCTGCCACAGCCATGTGAGCTAGGGGCGCATTTGTCCCCCTGGGGAGCCTCACATGAGACCTCTAAGACCCTAGCACAGAAAGCCCAGGAGCAGTGCTCCGACCCCTGCCTTATAGAAGCCAGGGTCACACACAAGTGGCTCACTGCTAGGTTTGTGGGAGTGTGTAGTGCAGCGATCCATTATTCATAAATTGACAAAAGGAAAAAGAAGACAAATACAGAGGCAATTGTGTCACCCAACACGGGTGATGGTGGTGACCAGGACCAGGGCCCGGGGGAAGAGGTGGACAAAAAGATGGAAGCCTAGAGGCTGTACCAGGTTTGTGAGTGGGTGGCTTGTGCCGTGAGCTTGGTGTCAGGTGTGATAACTCTCTGGACTGGGCGTCGTGCCGGGCAGTTCACAAACATGACACTACCCTTATGTCTCCATTCCCACCCTGCCTGTCCTTGCTGGGGGTCATGGAGCCAGCCAGCTGTCATGCCAGAGTCTGGGCTTCCTCTCCACTCAGTAGAAAAGGAGACACTTGCTCTGTAAATCTCCATCTGCAGCCCTGTGATCCAAGGAGCAGGAGGACCCCTTGCTGGCCCATCCTACTTTCATTTTACTGCACTGGTCCCTGATCTTTGTGAATCCACTCTGACCATGAGGGTCTTGCCCCTCCCCTCTCACCTGACCTGCAGGTCTGCTCTTAAACACACCCATGCCTCTTAATAGTCTAGTCCGGTATAAACTGCAGACCTCCTCTGCATCCTTCAAGATCCTGTTCAAATGGCCCATCTGTGAGCAGTGCTCCTTTACCCTAGAGAAACTCAGTCATGTGCTCTACTGATTCCTTTATAATCCCAAGAACCTCCTTCGCCTTTGGTGCCATCTGAGCCTTCCATGCCTGCCACAACCTGGCACTTGGTGAGCTTTCAGTGGACATTTTTGAGTGGATGAGAGACGGGATGACACACAAAGTCCCCTCCTATCCCCTAGTCCCCTGCAAGGCTGAGTCTAGCAGCCCTGTGAGGTAACAGAGCCCTATGAACAGTGGTCACCATGGCAACTCCAATCAACAGTGGAGGAAGGTGCTCCCCAGCAACCACCCACTGGGTCCCCCAAGTCACTGGGCAGCTGCAGCTTGCACTCCTGGACTTCAGCACCCCCTGGAGAGGTTCCTGTGCTTTCTGACCAGGTTATGAAAGTCATAGGGGAGGTGGGGCAGAGACCTGGAGGTGAGCAGGACTGTGCCTGGACCTGGGGTCTTACCCGCTTTCTCCCTGCTCAGGGTGACTTTTGAGAGACACAAGCTGCCTGCAGGGGGACCCACCACCCTGCCTTGACTAAGGTCTTTGGGGACCTTACTCCCAGGTCAGAACTGACAGCGAGTCAGCCCTCCTGCCTGACCAGCAGCAGCTTTGGGCAGGGCGGGAGCTCCGTGGTGCACTCCAAGGGGGTGGCCAGGGGCGCGGATGAGACAGGAGAAGGCTGTCTTGAACTTAAGTGAACTTGCGGATTTTTAGTCTTTTCAGACAGGCTCTTGCATATAGTTTTCAGGATGGCAACCCAGGCTGACCTCAAACTCAGGGCAATCCTCCTGCCTCAGCCTGCCAAGTACTGGGATTGCAGGTGTGCCCGCCATGCGCCCCCACTGCCTTTCTAGCCCTCGCAGCTCCTCTGCACACCTTACCAGGCCCATCTGTCTGTGGTGGGAGCGCCTGACGTGAGTGTCGGCACTGGTCGCCCTTTATTGTGTAACAAAGCATGAGGGAAGGCAGGGGCCTAAAATGACAGTGCACTCATTTCGAGATCCCAAGTGTCCCGGATGTGGGAGTGGATGTCGGACTCTGCCTCAGGGTCTCTCCTAGGCTGTGGCCTCAGTGATGCCTGGGGCTCCGTCCTCCAGGGCCAACTGGAGCAAGGAGCAAGGTCCTCTTCTGGGACTGCTCACACGGCAGCACTCAGCTCCTCACCAGCTGGTGGCTGTGGCCCCCTCTCTGTCGCATGGGCCTCTCCACAGGGCTCTCACCGGAGTCAGACACAGCAGCATCTCATGACAGTGTGAATGAGACAGGAGCCTTTCTCGGGCAGCTTAGAGGTGACAGTGCCCAGTTGGGTCTGCTCTGTTGACGCAAAGCAAATCACTAGGCCAGCCCACACCCAGGGGATGGGGCTGCACAGAGACATGGGGGACACCAGGGCCACTCATTGCTGCCACTGGCTCCCAACAGCCTTGCTCCCCTCATGTATAATGCACGTCCATGTGCCCTTGGGGTCTCCAGGGTCTCATCTGATGACAGTGCTTGTCACACTTGGAATCCAGGGGACAAATCCTGCTCAGGGAGGGCTGGGGACACCGGTGCTACTCCCAGGAGACCCCCCTACCCCATCCCCAGCAGTGCTGAGGGCCATGAAGAGGCATGGCCTTCAACAATGAGGAAGGAGGAGATCTAAGGGGTCACCAAGGTCCACAGCTTTTGAACTCCAGCCCAGCCATGCTGGGGTTCTGTCATCATCAGCTCCGCCCTGGGGACTTTTGCATCAATGCTGAGGTGTCTTTTCTTTTCAACCTGGTCCAGCCTTCTCTTTCATTTTGTTCCATCTAGCTGGCAGGACTTGCTAATACAGTTTCCTCATGTAGAGCTCACCCACTGGATGGAAGTGGCACCTGTCTGTACTGGGGCGATCTTAAGATTGCCAGAGACCCTCGCATTCCACTGGGAGGGGTGTGAGGCGTAGCTCTGGCCTCCTTGAAGGACCCTGTGTGTGGCTGCAAACCCAATCTTTCACTCTTTCTAAGGTTTAAAATACAAGTTTACAACCTCAGACTTTTCTACTATTAGCCAACTCAGGTTGGGGAGCTAACTGACCCCCAAACCAACACCCAGGACACAGGGGTTGTGGTCAAAGAAAGTAGACTTCATGGAGGTGCAAGCAGTCCTGATGGAGGCCGCATTTCCATGGCTCCAGTCCTACCTTCTCAGTCTCTGGAGAAGTGGAGATATCCTCGGAGGGCTGGCCAGCAGGATTTCCTGTGGAAATCAGCCTTTCCCAGGAGCTGGAGTCAGGCAGGGCAGCTGGTGAGCTTTTATCTCCAGAGCAGACATTCCTACAAGGAGTCAGATTGGTAGTCAACAGCCGCTTCCTGGAATCCCTGCAGAAAAACAAGCAGGGTCACAGGAGTGAAGAGTGAAGGCCATAAACAGAGATGGTCAGGGGACAGGAATGAAGCCTGATGGAGTCACTGGGGGCTGCAGCACGAAGGTCCTGGTGGCAACGTGACAAGATCCATGCAAGTGACAGGGAAGCTGTCATCGAGGCTGTGTTTTCAATCAAGGATCAATGAGCTGAGGGGCCAGTCCTGGGGTCACACAGGCAGGACCCATCAGATGGTCAGCACAAGGTCTCGAGTCCCTCATGTGCAGCTGGCCTGAGGCCACCTTCCCTGGGCACCTCATGGTCCCCATAGGGCAGCTGCCCCTCAGGTTGAGAGGCCAAGGGGAGCCAAGGAGCAAGGGTGAACGAGACACAGGCCACTAATCCCATCCCGGAGCCACATCCCACTGCTTTTATCATAGCGAGTCACCAGGCCCGGCTCCATCCAAGGGGCCTGCACAGGGTGAGTGAGAGTATCAGGGTGCAGCATCCCGTGAATCTGCGTGACCCTAGATTAATAATAGCATCGCCATTTTCGGTGCTGGAAATTGAACTGAGGGCCTCTTGAATACTAGGAAGTACTCTGTCTCAGCACCAAATAATTAAAGGCCAAAATTAATAGGTGATTTTGCTGGGAAAGCTTACAATGGAATTGAATCGACATGGTTTCTACCTGCAATAAACTTACTGGCAATTCTCAAAGACTTGTTCTAGCTCTTTCTTATTATAAAGATTTCAACATATGAAAAAAACAAACAAACAAACAAAAACCAAAACAGGATAAAAGCATGGCATGGTGGCTCAGGCTTATAATCCCAGCACTTGGGAGGCTGAGACAGGAGGATCGTTTCAAATTAGAGGCCAACTTTGGCAACAGAGTGATTTCAAGGCCAGCCTTAACCACAGTGTGAGACTGAGTCTCAAAAGACCCAAAGAAAACACAAAACCAGTCAACCAACCAAGCAACCCAAAACACAATAAAAACCCCACGTGTGATAAAATAAGAGGACGTAAAGAAAAGATTCTCCTAGGAAAAAGGAGCACGCACACGAAACCCGCAGAGGTGGTGGAGGCCTGGGGTGCAGGCTCCCTTTCCAGCAGCCACAGCAGATGACACCTATCTGCAGGAGGGCCCAGTGAACAAGGTGGGGGCGGGGCTGGCCAGGGATCTCTGTGGCCTCCCTGCAGGCTCATCTTTGTGTGGGAGGCTCTGTCATCTGAGAGGAGACAATGATGCGTGTGGCTTTGTTCACAGGACTGAGCTTGGAATTACCTGCGTCAGAGCAAGAGGTGATGGAGCCCGGCCGCGGAGCAGGTAGGCTGTGATGGCCAGGGACACAGCGGAGAATAGTGCCCTCCTCATTACCCCCAGTTGCTAAGCCCCATCCATCCTACCAGGCCCATCCTCAGGGCTCCATGCAATGTGGAGGAGCACCCCTCCTGTGCCCTGGCAGGGCAGGGCTATGGGAGAGCAGAGTGTGAAATCCGGCTGCTAGGCTGGGGCGGGGGGTGCAGGGCCCGTGGCCTGGTGAGGGAGGGACAAGGTGTGACCCCAGGAATGAGCTGGCCAACTCTGGGAGTGGAGGACCCTGGTAGGCATGGCTGGAGCAGGCTGTGGGTCCCTGAAGGGTGGGGGTGACAGGGCCACAGGTCGGGTGGGGCCATAGTAGCCCACTGAAGTGGGGACCACTCCTGCTAGAAGTTTTTCCACTGCTCGGAATGACTTGGGACTTTACCTTCAGATTTCTGCCTTTTAGCAGATCTGACCCAGCTGCTCTGGGGGGGGGGGTGGGGTCCAGTCACCTGGCTCATCACCAGTAAGAGGAGGGAAAAGGAAGAAGGGAAGGGGGGTGGGGAGGAAGAAGAAGAGAAAGGAGGAGGAGGAGGAGGAGGAGGAGGTATAGGACTGATGCAGGGCCTTCTCACTGAGTTACATCCCCAGCCCTTTTTAAGGTAAGTTCTTGCTAAGTCACTAAGCTGCCCAGGCTGGGCTTAAACTTGTAATCTTTCTGTCTCAGCCTCCCAGAGTGCTGGGACGACAGGTGAACATCACCACTCCCAGCTTGCTTGCTCGCTCCTTTCTTCCTTCCTTCCTTCCTGAATAGATTCATTCAACAAACACTGTGCCCCCAGAGGACAGGGATCAGCCTGTTGGCCTCACCTTTGTACAACACCCCTGAGCTCACAGCAGTGGTTACTCAGTGCAAGAATGGGTGACCCTCTTGGCTTTCTGTGTGGAGGATGCAGGACACACTAGGGTCTCTGAAATGCTTCGAACTCCAAATGGTGGCAGAGGATGAGCAGGTGGCCCCAGTATCATGTGGCCATAGAGGAGACACCAGAAGCACCGGCCAGGCCCTGCCCCAGCGGTGCTGAGCTCTGAACCTATAGAGCAGGGAGGAGTACCCACTCTGTGCTGGACTCGGGTCTCCTGGGGGCAGCCTAAGGGTGGAGGGTCACCAGCCAGGGGCTGAGCACCTCATTCTCTGCTATCTGCCTCTGTTTCTTTAAGAAAGGGGCCCCATGCTCTCCTGCCAGGGGTTGTCCTCAGACCCCTCTGCAGAGCCCAGCAGGAGCAAGAGTCCACTTGGTGTCTGAACAGGTTTTCCCTCTGCCTTTTGTAGGTGACTCAGGCAAGGACGAAGGACAAAGGTGGGCTGGGGAGCACAGAAGCCTCCCCTGTATCCAGTGCAGCTGGGCCCACAGCCCCCAGGGGGTAGGCACAAGGGGCTGAGAGCAGCGCCTTAGTGCCGCACAGCAGGAGCAGAATCGGTGCTCACAGCTGCCTAATTTTGAAAAACTGGCCTGAGCTGCAAGTCCAGAGACCAGAGTGAGGCGAGAATGCAGATGCTGGCTGGGAAGGGACCAAGGCCCTGGCACTGGCTTGGTTTTTAATAGCAACACACAGGCTCTGACCTCGTTTGCAGACAGAAGAGAAGCAAATCCAGGCATCTTTTAAGGGGAGGATCACAGGCCCCTTCTGGAGGGGTTTGGAGGAAAGCTCTCCATACAGTTTCCAGCCGTGGCCGGGGTGAGGGTGGTGGCAGGCCGACAGGCTTGGTCTCTGTGGTCTGCAGCACAGATGCAGGACGTGCATGCTGCTCTCTGTTGTGTCAAATGTGTGTCCTGGCTGGGTGTGGCGATTGTGCACACCTGCGACCCCAGCATTCTAGGAGGCTGAGACAAGAGGACTGGGAGTTTAAATGGACAAGCTAGCAAGACCCTGTCTCAAAAAATGAAGAGCTGAGGGTGGTGGTGCACACCTGCCATCCCAGCACTCAGGAGGATGAGGCAGGAAAATCACTATGAGTTCCAGGGTACATGAGTGAGTGTAAGGTCAGTCTGCACTGCATAGTGAACCCTGTCTCAATAAATAAGTAAGTAAATAAATAAGTGGGGCTGAGGATGCCACTCAGTGCAAAGGCCCTGGGTTCAGTTTCCAGGACTCCCAAACCAAACAGAACCCATGCCCCAAGTTGCCATGCAGTGGCTGTAAGATGCGCCATTACTTAGGCATGTCGAAGAGCAAATGCTGCCCCTGGACCACAAGGCTAGGGTCAAGGCCCGACACCTGGGTCTGGGGCCCCGGATGTCAGGAGCAGTGTGAGCAGCGCAGGCCTGTGGGAGGCCTGGCCACCGAACTTACTCCTCCTGTCTTGCTCCTTTCTCACCCACCCCTCTCCATCCTCTTATTGCCCCGCCCCTGGCTCCCTGGCCCCACCCACCTCCCTGTGCTCTTCTGACTCCACTTTCTTCATCTGCCTGAGCCTTTTCCCTCTCTCTCTCTCTCCCTTCCTCCCTCCCTCCCTCCCTCCCTCCCTCCCTCTCTTTCACTCTTCTCCCTGTTCAGGTGCAACTCCTTTGACCAGGAGCCCCCTGAGCAGCAGCAGGAGAGTCCCCCAGGATGTGGACACCTCCAAGTTCAAGCACCCGGCCAACACAAGCTCCAGAGGGAGCGTCCCAGGAGAGGGCCACTTAGAGGAAGCCTGGCCAGTCCCAAGCCCTGCCAGCAGGGGTCCTCTGGGGTTGGGCTCAGGACCTGGGACTCTGAAGAAGGGGAGCTCTAGACCTTCCTCGAGGGAGAGCTGCATTTCCCTCCAGGAGGGGCCTCGGCAGGACAGAAGCCCCAGTGCGAAGACCCAGGAGCTGAGGGGCTCATCTCCCAGCCAGAAGGACAGCGTCATCCCTGACAACATTCGCCACAAATTCGGCAGCAGAGTGGTGGACCAGCTGGTTTCCGAGGAGCAGGTGTCCACGCAGGGGCCCAGAGGCTCAGGGAGGTGGAGGGGTCCTCGTGAGGGTTGACAACAAAAACTAAAAGAAACCTGGGCAACCCTTGTGGCAGCAACAGCAGAACGCAGGACTTGCTAAATGGTTGCTGCGTGGCAGAGACCAAGTGTTGTGTAAATCCTCCCCATGTAACGCCACACCCCCATCTTTCCAACAACCCTGCAGGGAAAGTCATGGGTAAAGAGCTAAAGGCTAAGATGGTTTAACTTAACCAAATTCACTCAGTTGTGTGGGACAAGAATCCAAACGGATGGGCAGATTTTAGCACCTTGGCCCAAATGCCTGCACAGTTACAAAGCTTTTGTTTGAGTTGGATATTTTCAGTTGGAACAAATTTCCAAAGATAGGCAATACTCAGTGGACAGATAACATTTACTGGGAATCAGAAGGCCTCAGTTGGAATCCTGGGTGTGCCCCTGAATGCTGAGTAACTTTGGATAAATTACTTTCCCTCATGGGCACCAGTATGTATGTCTGTGAAGTGAAGCAGAGGGACTAGACAAATTCATGGCACACAGACTACAATGGCCCAGTCTGCTCATGTGACAGACATGACTAATCGATGCTGACAGTCTTACTTGCATGATAAACCATTCTAGGCAGCCAGTTTGAATCAACTGAAGCTAGAGACAAAATATACCTGCCACTTCTGGTCAAATGCTAAGCATCCTTTCTGCTCTGACATTCTGAGATGTGTGAGAGCCAGCATTCCGACCTACATAGTGACCACATGGTACTGTTAGCCAGGCAGGGGTTAGGATTTCCTTTTTATTTATTTTTTTTATGTATTAGATATGGGGCTCACTATACAACTTGGACTTATAATGATCTTCCTGTTTTCAGCCTCCCCAGAATTTGGATTACAGGCATGTGCCACCATGCCTGGTCTTGGTGGCCAGCTCAGTGCTCCCAGGGGCAGGGCTGGTGCAGCATGTGGTGCTGGGGATCGAATCCCGGTCTCTACACTTGCCTAAGCAGGCACTTAGTCCACTGTGCTATCCCACCAGCCCTAGGATTTCCTTTTTAATACATAGTAAAACCAAGGCTGAGAAAGGAGTGGAGACTTGACAAACTCAGGAGCTGCTATATAGCAGAACTAGAACTCAAATCCAGATTTCCAGGTCTGGGGTGCAGCTCAATGGTGCAAGTGCTTAGCTGCCAAGTGCAAGGTCCTGAGTTTGATCCTTGGTAAAGAGAGAGAGAGAGAGAGAGAGAGAGAGAGAGAGAGAGAGAGAGAGAGAGAGAGAGAGAG